AGCGTGTGTCTGTATGTGGTTTAGTTTGAACTTTTTAAAAAAAAAGAAAGAAGAGAAACTGCAGCAACGAACAGAAAGTTAGAAATTTCTCTCCTCTTGTTCTTTGTTCATTTGATTTTATATTAGAATTTAATGTGGATAAATTGGACCGGAGACTGGTTAGCTGAATTAGCCTTATTACCCTCAGGCCCTCATCAGTTGTAAATTATTATTCAAATTGAAAACTAATCGTTGCGCTGCTACAAATTGAGTTTTGGTTTGTCAATGCGCAGCGTGAATTTAGTTTAATTGAGTAATTGCAACGACTGAAATGAAAAAATGGACCAAAACCACTATTTAAACTCAGAATTGGAAAAAAAGCGGAGCGTCAGCAGTTTGAATCCACAGAGTGTGGACGCTCACAGACACAGCGAAGAGTCTGTGAGGTCATTGAAAGTCTCCTCAGAGCAGCCGTGGTGCTCAGGGTCAGACTCTGAAGTTCAGCAGAACTCAGCTGGACGTCGTTTTAACAACCCGGCTCTCAAAGAAACACTTTCCCCTCTTTGGTTGCATCGCGCCGTCTCTCCTCATTAAGTCCAGTGCTGAGGTTCCTGGGTTTCCCTCCAGGTCCGACTCTCTGACACTGACGTGAACTCTGAACTCACTGACGGAGCAGATCTCTGAACTTCAGCTCTCATCCACGACACCACGATCTCTCTCTCTCTCTCTCTCTCTCTCTCCATCCATTCACCTCTGTTCTCTTTTCTCTTTTTCCCTCATCATCTGTTCCCTTTCCCTCCACGTTCTTATTTTCCATCAACAAGCCCTCGTCAGACGCCGTCTACAAACCAATCAGAGTCAAGTACAGGTAGACGACGCCCACGTAGGTGATGACGGCAAGACGTACGTATGTAAAGAATTCTTCAGTCCCTGAATTACAAAGTGAAACATGAACAAACATGAAGCTTCAGACTCAGAGAGGAAACGTCCAGTGTGTTAGTACAAGGAGTAAAAGCATCGGGTACCTGGAAGGCTCCCTCTGATATGCTGTGCAGCTGGTTGTTGGCCAGGATGAGGTGCCGCAGGTTCACCAGGCCCTGGAAGTGGGAGTCGTCCAGGCTGGTGAGGCGGTTGGCGTCCAGGTGGAGAGCGTGGAGATCCTGCAGGTCAGCGAAGGCGTACGGCCGGATCTGACTGATGGTGTTTCTGCTCAGGGTCAGGTGGATCTGGGGGAGGAGGAGGACGTCAAACCAGGGTTTCACAACAAACACAACTTTTCCATTCTGTGGATTTTAGAGTAAAAACTTTCTCTTTCTATTCTTCTTAAAGCTCTGGAGTTGAACTAATCTACACCCACAATGATTCATTTGTTTTAGAGCGACACTCTGGGAGGACACCGTGACTTTTATACACTCAGTCAAACAGCTTCATGAATAATTATTCTACAGTCGCACAGTTGAGATGAGCATTTGTGTTTTGAGGAACTCCTTTACGAGATATTTTAAGAATAGGACGTAGGTGGACAGATGGACGACCTGGAACAACAAAGCCTCCGGCCTCTGGGTGTCGCTGGCGCTAAGACATAACAAATACATTTCCTGGTGAGTGAGGCGATCGTTAAAAGACTGCCGGGGTCAGGCTGAAGAATAGTTCCTCTGTACATGTGATACTACGTGTGAATATATTCTATCAACACCCAGCGACGGGTCAATCAACACCCACACAACCCGTTCTGGTGAAGTCGCCTGTCCCACGTTGCCTCGTGTGTGAGCAAACATCGTCTGTGCTGCTGCGACTGCAGAAGAAACATTCAGGACGTCTCCAGCTGTGACGACTTCGTCTATTCACCATTTAAATATCCCAACTTCTTTTGGCGCCGCCCCGTCACCTCCGTTACGTGATTGTGGTGAGAGTAATTAGTGAAATCACCTCAGTCAATATGTTTGAAGCAGCAGATGTTTTCTCTATTCACTGTGAAATAAACATGAAAACTCTCCTCGCTGGGTTTTTTTTTTCCTCCCCTGAAAAATTCACCCATCCTTGATGTCCTACATTTCCCAGAATGCCACTTGATTCTCCAGTTTAATGTATGTTTACCCTGTTCTTAAAATGTGGGTTTGCACACTACAGGGACAGTGAAGGCTTTTTATTCTGTTTTAGTCCAAGTAGCTGAGAGACAAGTAGGTCGATGGAGGACTGGATGTGCTGCTGCGTTCTGGACCATCTGGGACTTTCACTATGCATGAATGGAGGCCTCCAGATGGGCGCTGCAGTAGTTTCGAGTCGAGATGTAACCACGGACTCGTTTGCGTCACCTCGGCCGCAGTTCCGCGTCAGGAAATCCGCTGATGACGGCCACAGCTGCAGCTCCGGTGACAGACGTCTCAGAGCCGGCCGGCGGCAGATGAAATGAAACGTGCAGGTGAAGATGCACAAAAAGCACAGCGACAGTGAAGGAGGCTGAAAAAAACTGGATCCACTTCCATGTTCCTACAAATCTGAACGTTGTTGAAGTTACAAAAGTGCTAATTGTTGGACCGTGGCTGGATGTGACCTCTCGTCATCATCCACCCTGACCTCGCGGTTCAGCAGCACAAAGGACACACTGCTTTGTGCTGCTGACTCTAAACGAACATGTGTGTAACACGACATTAAAATACAATCACACAAGGCGGCTTTGAAAAGAAGCTAATGAGCTGCTGCTGGCAGGTCGTTACTCATCCAGTCTGTGACTTGATGGACCAGAATGAGCAGCAGGCGGTGACATGAGCTAATAGCCTGTGAGCTAACTGCATACGCTTCGATGAGCAGGATGAGTCCAGAGTGGGATCCTCTCAAATGTGAAGTTCAAGCAACGTCGAGCTTCACAGATGTAAGAGAGAGAAGAAGAAGTTCTCCAGGTCTGTGAACACGCCATGTTTCCACCCGTGTGTTTGTCTGTTAGTTCGCAGCTTTACACACAAACGACTGGACGCATGAACCTCAGTGGGAGATCGTGACGTCAGTCAGAGAAGAACTGACGAATCAGAGGGCAGATCCTGGATGAATTCTCTAAGATTAAATCACATCTCCACTACAGACATGACATCTATTACATGCCTGTGTGTTTTAGAGCAGATTGGAAAGTCTCGTTCTTGACTTTGTTTCCACACTGAGCTTCTAAATCAGTCCTCAGCAGCTCAGTGATTCCTCGGTGAAGAGAAGACGAGCGGGGACATGTCCGGGCCGTCAGGGCCTCGGTCTTCTGGAGGAAACTTCAGTGTCTCACTTTTACCCGACGGCTTCGACTTGTTTGTTTTTATCTGTGAATTCATTTTTTTTCTCCTTTTGTTTTCTCATAATTGTTAATTATATTATTTGATTTATTTGTATTAGATATTTTTGAAGTTCAGTGTAATTGTATTATTCTGATTCTTGCCTTTGATGCTTTGTTTTCTACTACTACTACTAATACTTGTACACATGTCATCACCATCAACCTGTCGGCCTGAAGCTCCTGTTGTGTTAACATGTATGTGAAGGTGTTTAGGAGCCGAGCTCTGACCAGGCTAGTCATGTTGGCGAAGTCGCGGTGCCTCAGCGTCGTGATGAAGTTGTCCATCAGCCTGAGCTCTGCCGTCTGGCGGTCGATGTTCGGCGGGACAAAGAGGAGGCCCGTCTTGGCACACAGCACCGTGTAGGACGGCAGCAGGTTCTGGCAGGTGCACCGCTTCGGGCACAGCATGGAGGAGGAGCAGGAGGCGAGGGAGGACAGGAGGATGACGAGGAGGAGGAGAGGGGAGACCAGCGAGGAGACGACATCCATGGCTGCTCTCCAGCTGCAACAGATAACGGAGAAACAGAAGTTAGTTGGTTCGTTTGTTGTCGACATTAAAAATCCTCCAAGGGAATGAAAATGTCTTCCAGGTCTCCCACTGAGTTTCAAATTAAAAACCTTATTGCTTCGCCTAAATCACTGCTCTTTGATTTGATTGACAGATTTTTATGGTTAAACAAAGAGAGTCCC